TCAGGGTGAGTGCTAACGTGTTTTGCCAGTTGAGTTTGCTAACGTGATACACAATAGGTACTATATCGCCATCTCTCTCATCTGCTCGCTTCTGGGCTATGGCTCACCTACCAACCCCCTTAAGCAATCAATCCCAGCGGGCCAAGACGATAGGAGCGCCGCGCTAAGCAACAAATTTACTACCGATAAGGAAACCGCGAAGAAACAGTTTGAGAACACGCGAGCATTCGTCATGAAGACGTGTGATATTGTTTTCCGCCGCAAATCGGATATCAACGCACTTCCTTTTTTTCACACAATACTGGTCTTCTTATATTACGTGGCTCAACACCCTAGAGCCATTGCGCTCATCGAGGACGATTTCCCATGGAAACGACTAGTCGACGTACTTAACGAGGCTTATCCGGCACTGTTATCAAAACCAAGGATGGCAAATGAAACCTTCCCGCGACCGCTGCGCAACGAGCCTTTGTGCCCACTTCCAGAAGACTATGCTTTGCGAGGGTTTGCATTTTCAAAAGGCTACTTCCCAGCCGATTGGTTTTCTAACGAGAAGCTTGAAGATGCTGAAAAGATGTTTAAACCGCCCTCCTTGGGCGACAAGCGACGCCAACGTCTGCATTGGCTTGGACACCAGATCTGCAGTCTGGGAACCTGGATCAAGTGGAACACAGGCTCAAGCCGTTATACTACGGCCGAGGAGGGTGAAAGGCGGCGACAGGTTTCTAGCACAGAGAGCCCTGGTGGCGGCAAGTACCCTCACTGTGCTGCGCCTGCTGACTTACGGTCTCGAGTCTCTGGTGGGCAAACTGGCTCGCCTGCTCCTTCAAGTTCTCTGCGCCAACCAGGCGTGCCCGCTACCACCAGCCAGCAAGCACCAATGACCAAGATGAGCCGGAGCGATTTTGACGAGACGATGATCGACCGTTTAAATTGCCAATTTTGTCGCCGCTGACCAGATGGCGCAACATGCTTGCTACCGACCTTCTCCGGAATTTTTTTGTTTGGGGTGGGGGGTGGTGCTGTGGTGCCGGTTTCTCCCAAGGAAGCAGAAGAAAATCAATTCGAGTGAATATGGGTGAGAAGCGATGTAAAGGCACAAAACGATATACCGAGAACCGAATATTGTCGCGATTGCCTGCCGCTGCATGGTGAGCGCCATAATAAAGACAGCAAAAGTAGATAGAGAAAGCAAGTTTGGCATTTGTAAGTAGCTATCCGAATGTGAGCCGTACAGATTGAAAGCTCTCATCAATTATTAAACCTCAAGATCTTTCGATGACCGTCCGCGGGGCTCGAGCCTGCGCACAATTGACCCCTAACATAGATAATTGGCGTCTCCGCTGGCTGCTTCTCAAGGGTGTAGCGGGCGCATCGGCGAAACCCAAATTGTAAACGGGCTACCTCTCGACGGAAAAGGCACTGACTTGTCAACGAATTTGATATTCCAGTGGCCTTCAATTTCAACTTTCACAGACCCATCTCCATCTGGAGTTATAATTTGAAGATTTGCGTTCGACAACACAAATCGAGATGTTTCTGTCACAGTAGTGCTTCTTCTTTTCTTTGGAGTTGGCACTTCTACTTCTTGTGTTTCACCGGATATCTCGTCGGCATCATTTCGATACACATTGTAAGATCCATTTGCGCCGATTGTGGTACACGGAGTAACCCTTTTCTGTGCGGTGCCATTGTCGCAGTCGCGGTGAGTTGGATGATGCCGAAAACTGTCTGGTGAGGCAATGTGCAGATCGTCGCCACTTTGATCGCGTCTCTCAGCCTCAATTGAACTTTCGCGGAAGGCCACGTCAACACGCCGCATCTGGATTCCTTTACTCTGCACTGCTCCTGTACTTCGGCTACCCGTTGCAGTTTCGAATGCCCGTTTGCCATACCGTACGTCTTGGATCGATGGGTCCGAAACCTTTTTACGCTTTTTGCTTGCTGTGTTGCCACCCTTGGATTTCCGTTTTCCTTCCGCAAATGTCCGCGGTGCTGTAGCAGCCTGCGGCACAGCTACCCTGGCACTCTGTTGAATACTGACTTGGTCGAATCGGGCAACGTCAGCGTCGGCATGTGCTTTTGGATCCTCGTTGTTAGACTCTTGCTTCGAACTGTGTATTTTCTGAGGCCGCCCCTTCTGTAGGCCATGCTGCCTTGTTCCGCGTTGCCTTTGCCTGGCAGGTTCTGTATCTGCGCTGCCCTGACCGACTTGGTCTTGAATTTTATCGTCTGAATCAGAAATGACGACTGTGGATTGCGCAGCGTTGTGGCCCGCTATCGAAGACTGCGGGATATCTTGTGCATCGGGGACTCCTACAGCATCAAGTACTTCCGTTGCCAGCTCAGCGACACTAGCTCCGGCGCCAGCCGTGGGCAGAGGGCTGATCTGCCGCGAGGGAAGCGAACCGTGACGGTCTACAGCGTGCTCTTGCTCGTGATCCGCAGCACAATTGGATCTACCGGTAGTGATACTACCGCTGGTCTCTGTGCTACCAGCGGTTGCTTGCAAAGTTTCTGCGTACTTCATTAGCTGTGTCTTGGCATCTGCTGCTACCATAGAACTACCTGTGCCAATTGCGTCTTTCTTTTTGTCCGAAGGGAAAGTTATTGGCTTCGGCGTTGCTTCGGGATCATGAACCGGGCGATCATGGTGCTCAGAGGGGACATCGTTTGGGCTTTCGACGCCAGGCGTGTCAGCTTCGAGAGTGTTTCTGACTTGTGCCATGGCAATCAATTCTACTAAGAGGAACTAGAGAGAGAAAGATAAATCGAGTGAGATGTGAGGATTCGATGAGACATACAGGTAGTGGCAGCTGCCGCCCTTTTGTAGTTTCGCCGCTCTCGCTCATGAAGTGATACTCAAAGAGCACGTGGGACAAGGCACTCTAGATCCTCCTACTGAATGCTCGGCTGCAGCCGTCGCAACTAACCTGGCAGAAAATGTGTCGTAGCCTGCAAACGGAATTGAAAGACGCAGCGTGAATGCATGGATGAGGTAGAGAGGCAAGAGAAATCTTACTCGTCGCATGCAGCCTGGTGAATGGCGCGTGGCTTGTAGGCGAAATCGGGGTCGTGTGAGGAGAAAGACTACGGAAGGCGCACATAGACCCGAGATGTGATGTACTCATCACCTAGAGATTGTTCTTGACTCGATTCCCCTTGCCAGTAGTAGGAACACGCTGTTTCTTAAGATATTCGAATTGCTGGTTGAGCTAGAGAACGTAAGCAGCAGCGTGTAATGTCACGAGATTCCTGATGTAGCAGTGCAGGACATGATGATTTTGTGAACTCGGATGCCTGTTGCCTTGGCCCTACCATGCCTGTGTGCCTTGTATTCACGACGCCAACTCTTCTGATTCTCAGATATGCCGTAGTCATCCCTGAATCAAAAAC